GCCCCCAGGCCGAAGCACCTCCCCCTCTTAAAGGGGCCGCAGACCCAGAGGGGCAAACGCGAAAGCAGCTCTGGGTCCTGTCCTCGCCACTGCCTAGTGCCACCACACACGCCAAGCCGCCGCCCGACCTCCAAATGGATGACAGGCCACCGTCTCTGAGGCCTTCCGCACTCTAAAGCACTGCCCTTGTAGGTCGCAGAGGGTATTCTAGGGACCTGGCGTCCGCCAAGTGTCTGGGGAGACCCATGCCACCCCTGTCTTCAAGAGCACCCCGGGAGTTGAACACAGCTCAAACGAAGGCCCCGTGGCGTCTTGCAGGAGGGATCCTTATGACCCCAGCCCCAGGATGGATCCCCATTCCTGGGGAGACCCCACAGGGCCTCGTACCTGCCACTGCCCTCCCCTGGACCCAAGCACCCTCGCTGCAAAGACCCTCTTGACTTTGTGCAGGGGCGTCACCGACGGGAAGGGCAGCCCTAAGACTACACAGCGTCCCCATCTACTACATGGGTAGGGAAGAATGCCTCACTGGGGCCCCAGAGCAGGCCCAGCCTAGACCTGCTGCGGCCACTCCCAACCCCAGGGTCGTCTTGAAAACAGGGAGCCATCAACCTCCCCAGGCAAGCCCTATGAGCAGGCAGGGTCCTGGATTCGAAAGCTGTCGCCCCTCCATCACCACTCAGACAATCGGCAGCCCCAAGGACCCGAACCCCACCCATCTTCTGCAGAGGGTGAGCTGACATCTACAATTGTGATGAACTTTGCTGAGGGACTGGGGACAAAGCCCGGGCTGCTCTTCGGGCTGGCTGAGCCCCAGGGAAAGCACGCGCCGTGAAAAGGAGAGGAAACTTAAAATTTTAAATCTTTAATTTCTGTTTTCACGTTCTTCCTCGTTTTGCTTCCAAAAGGAAATAAGAGCATAGCTCCGTCACCTGTACATTGTCCACGTCCCCTGGGCTGGGGTAGGTCCCGACCCCTACCTGCCGGCTGCCTCGAGGGCGTGGGGCACCCAGGGGTTCACATGCAGCCCCCGGGACCGGGGCAGGGTCCGGGCGCCGCCTTATTGCTGAGGTCCCGGCGCGGCTGGGCGGCCGCTAGGTTAGGCACGCTGGCCGGGCAGCTCCTGGGAGATGAAGCGGCGCAGGCGCTCCAGGTACTGGCTGTAGAGCTCGATGTCGTTGTGCCCGGCGCCCTCCACCCACAGAGGCTCCACGGCCTTGGGGCAGCGCTCGTACAGCGCCAGCCCGTGCGAAAAGTCAATCACCTCGTCCTCCGTGCCGTGGATGATGAGCACCGGCGACGTGATCTTGGACACCTTCTCGATGCTGCGAGGCGAGACATATTAGGACTCCGCGTCCCACCCCGCCGAGGCCCCGCCCCGCCCCGCCCCGCCCCATGCTCACTTGGGGAAGGCGTCGAAGCAGTAGGTCTTCTTGGTGTCTGGGAAGGCGACGCGCATGCCCGAGGTGAGGGGTGAGTGCAGCACCACAGCGGCGCACTCATAGCGCGAAGCCAGGTCCACGGTGGGCACCGTGCCAATGCTCTGCCCGTACAGGACGATGCTGTCCGGGCTGATGCCGTACCTGGCAGCGAGGGGGCAGGATCAGCCGTGACACAGCGCGCACACCCCTCCCACTGCCCGCCCTCCTGGGGCAGTCCCCCAACACCGAAGCCGTAGGACTAATACGGGAGGTAGGACCCAGACAGGTGTGAGGGGAGCTGGCCAACAGCGGCCCCACTCTGCCGTTTCTTGGACAGTATCTACTTGGTCACACCTGGGCAGTGCACCTGTAAGGGCCCCACCCGCTCCTCCTGGTCATCCAGCTACCCCCAACCCCTACACACACTTGACCAGGGCCACCTGCTTGGGGCCTTCCTGTCCCTGCTGTTCTGAATTGGACAGCCCTTTGTGGTTGCACTGGAAGGGGGCACGTCTTCCCCCCAGCAGCCCTCACCCGACCCTCATCTACCCCCTTGGCAAGCCCTAGGGATTGGAGGCAGCTGTGTCCTCTGATGTCTCAGCCAGTTTGTGACCCCTCAGTGTCCCCTATACCCAATGAGGTGTTAGTACAACACAGGTGAGCAGGAACAGTGGCTCCTGAGGGAAAATGGGTGGCCGCCACCTCCTTCTCTGGGCTCCTTCCCTACTTAGTGGCAAGGTCCTGGGCCCCACTCGCCACCCCAAGCTCTCCTAGCCCCACACCAGCAGGGCTGATCCAGCTCCACACCACGTGCCCCTTCCTGACCACATGAGGACCACTCACCATCCTCCAGAGCAGGAGGCCTCTGTGGCCTTCCTCCCACACACCCATGACCCTGATCCCAAAGGAGGCTCTCCCCTCAGTAGCCAGGGAAGGTCTGTATCTCACCTAGGCAGCCAGACTCCATCGCCCTGTCCACCCAGGGGCCATGTGCACAGTCCCTGTCCTCTGTCCCCAATCCCCAGACACACCCCCAGGCCTCAGGGAGCCATCTGGTTTCATGCCTACTACTCTGGCCGCTCCTCCCCGGCCGGCTCCCTGGTTCGCTGTGAGCATCGCTATGCCGAGTCCCAGCCCAGTCCTATCACCCAGCTCCAGGCAGGGACCCCCAGCTGCCACCTGGCTGTCTCCACCGGGACAAACGCAACAGGTGCCAGATGGTGCAGCTCTTCTTCCAGGCCTCCCCAGCCCTGGTCACAACCTGGACCCAAGCCTCCTGCCCTCCTGATGTTTCTCAGCTACTGGGGCTGAGGAACCAGTTCCCTGGAGGTCAAGGCTGGCAGCAGGACAGACAGATGGATGACAGAGCTCAGAGAACTCTCAGTCCCTCGTGAGGTGTGATTCTGCAGTGACCCCCAGCCAGTGGGGACAGGCTGAGGCAGCCAAGGGTGGACACATACCTGCACCGTGCCACCAAGCATGGGTCCCCAGTGCCAGGGTGGTGTCAGGGAACCCTGCTCACAGGGCCTGCATCAGGGACTGCTGGGGCATCACTATGGCAACCAGGGCCCCCGCCTCCCCAGGGCAGGTTGGCTTTGGTCCCAGCAGGAGCTGGTCGCGTCAGCTGGCCAGGCAGGGTGGAGATGGGGCAGCCAGCCCTGAGCAGGCAGAGGGTGCAGCCTCCAGGGGGGCAGGGGCTGGGTGGGTGTCCCTCTAAGCAGCACGGGGCATGGGGCCACACCGCACGCACTGGTTCAGGTGGGGCCACTGTGCTCGGTGAGCGAGCACGAGGGTGGAAGGGGGCTGCCAGGGTCTGGATGATCAGGGCGGTGGGGTCCAGGGAAGGTGCAGACCAGACCACGATGGCACTGAGTAAGGCCTGCAGTGTGTGCTGGACACCGTGCCTGGGGAGGACACAGCCTCTGCTCGCTGACCTACCAGCCACCAGGGCTGTGCTGGGTACCAAGCTGCCTAAGTGAACCTTCTAGGCCCAGAGGAGCCCTGCCCTCAGGATGAGGCCACGATCCATAAGCAGCACCTGATGCAGAGGCCCTGCCCCACCCACCCTACCAAGTGCTCCCACATCCTTGGGGGTCCCCTGAGTCCTCTCACACAGGCCTCACACACCCCCTCCTGGGCTGGGAGGGGCCCACGTCCTCTGTCCACTCTTCTCCCTTCATTCTCCCTTCAGGTGGAGCCTCCAATGGGGACAGTGTCAGGCCCTGTCCCTTCCCCTGCCCAGGCAAGGCTTGAGGCCTGCCCACCCATCACCATGCAGAGAGAACATAGGCCAGGCCTTGCCCTGCGGCCCAGGGTGGCTGCAGACAGGCTCCCTCTCCTGCAGGCCCACCCGCCTGGGCTCCCTCCCTCCCCCAGGTGAGAGGTTCCACCTGGGCAGATCACCTGTGAGGCAACGCTCATCCCCCCCCCAGCCCCAGCACAGAGCTCACCGGGTGCGCAGGGCCTGCCAGGCGGCGTCGATGTCGGCGTAGAGGTTCTTCTCGGAGGGCTTACCCGAGCTCACGCCGTAGCCCGAGTAGTCGTAGGAGAAGATGTTGCAGTTGATGCGCGTGCCCAGGCCGATGTAGAAGCTGCTCATCTGGCCCAGGTCCACCGCGTTGCCGTGCGAGAAGAGCACCGTGTACCTTGGGCAGGGGTGGGGAAGCACAGGTCAGAGGGCAAGGGAGGGGCTCTTCATGCCCAGCACCCAGGAGTCCTGACGAGGGGACAGGCTGCCTGTGCCAAACAGCGGCCCAGCTCCTCCCAGTGGGCCTCAGACAGGGGATGACCAGCGGAGTGTCAGGCTTCCCCTCATGAAAGGGGGCCACTGGGACCACTGGTCACATTCTTGGCACAGGTGGGCCCCTCTGCGTGAACTTGGCAAACTACAGTGACCATCACACATATCCCCGTGGGCAGCAGCCGCCTCTCCTCTGGAACATTCCTTTGGAGGGACTCCGGCAGCCCCTAGGGATGGCAGGCACGTTGCCCACTGCTCAGAACCTTCCTAGAGAATGAGACAGCGCCTTCTCTGTCAGCAGGGCTGCCCCCCACTCTTGACAGCAGGCCCCTACTCCAGCCCTGACAAGTGAATGAAGCTGATCCCTGTTCAAAGCGGTGCAGCTCTTCCTAGACAGGGAATGACCACAACCCTTACTTCTGCCTTGTGTCCTGTGGCAGCCCTGCGAGTTGGTCATGCCAAGAGCAAGAGACCAGGCTGGATCCAAGCTGATGGCCTCCCAGAGTCTTCTTCCTCCAGCACCACGGGCCCCGCCCAGCCCAGTGCAGACGGAAGGTAGAAGTTTGCCCTTTGGACTCAGATCTGCAGTCAGAACCCAGCCTGGTCTGAAGATAGAAGCATCAGGAAGGCCCCCCTCTGCCCCACCTTGGAACTCAAGAAATCAGACTTGGCACAAGCCACCAGCCAGGCCTCAGGTGCCCCTGCCCCAAAGCAGGTGCCGAGGCCTCAGCAGGCACCAGGGGCCCAGGAGACCATCCCTGGGCAGGTCAACACCGAGACCCACAAGCAGGCGGCTCCTCATCGAGCAGGTGGGGTGATGTGGCACTCGGAGCCACCTCCCCAAGCCTCAGGGTGCTGAGAGGGCCCCTCAGAGGGCTGCTTGTGGAAGGGCACCTGGCCTCATGGGCAGATCTCATCTGCTGCCCCTTCCTTCAGCAAGAAGAATCATGGGGCACGCACACCACCAGACAGGCTTTCACTAGCCCTGGCCCTCTGGGGGCCACCACCAGCTGGAACAGGAGCTCTGAGGACAGAGCACACCCAGGGCCAGGAGCCTCCCGGGCGCCACCCTCCACCCTCAGGTCATGTCCGCGTGGCGGCCCCGAGGCTCACCTGGCACCAGGCACGCAGCGCACGTACATGCAGGAGATGCGGTTGCCCCGGCTGCTCTTGGTCAGGAAGACCTCGACGGTGTCCAGCTCGCGCTGGCTGTACTGGAAGTCAGCGCGCTCCAGCAGGTGGAGCTTCCAGCGCCCAGCGGTGCCAGCTGAGGCCCGTAGGGTCCCCGAGGGGGCGGCCCCGGCCCCACCGGGCCCGGGATCAGGCTCAGGCACTAGCGAGTAGGTAGGCTCCGGAGGCAGGAATGCGAGCTTGGCGGCGATGCGGCC